TTTTTGTTTAAAATATTTGTCATTGCATAATTTTAAAATCTGTTTACTCATTTCATTGTACACTTTTATCATGTTTGGATAAAATATGGCTTTACATATGATTATTTGAAGAAAAATTATAAAGGCAACTTTCATTGTTTAATGATAAATGTGAATAAAGGTTGGTGGCTTTGAAATATACTTTTCATTTAGTTTGGTCTGGCTTAGTTTGATCTGATTTAGTTTTATCTGGTTTAGTTTTATCTAGTTTAGTTTGATTGATTTAGTTTGGTCTGGTTTAGTTTGGTCTGGTTTAGTTTGGTCTGGTTTAGTTTGGTGTGATTTAGTTGTATCTGGTTAAGTTTGGTCTGGTTTAGTTTGGTTGTGTTTAGTTCGGATTAGTTTGGTTTGGCTTCTGATTGGAACGGTTATATATTTTACGACTTAAACATTAGTTTGGCCTAGTTTAGTGTGGTCCTGTTTATTTTGTTCTGGTAAAGTTTGGTCTGATTTAGCTTGGTTTGGTTTAGTTTGGTCTGTTTTAGCTTGGTTTGGTTCAGTTTGGTCTGTTTTAGCTTGGTTTGGTTTATTTTGGTCTGTTTTAGCTTGGTTTGGTTTAGTTTGGTCTGTTCAAGCTTTGTTTGGTTTAGTTTGGTCTGTTTTAGCTTGGTTTGGCTTAGCTTGGTCTGTTTTAGCTTGGTTTGGTTTAGTTTAGTCTGTTTTAGCTTGGTTTGGTTTAGTTTGGTCTGGTTTAGCTTGGTTTGGTTTAGTTTGGTCTGTTTTAGCTTGGTTTGGTTTAGTTTGGTCTGGTTTAGCTTGGTTTGGTTTAGTTTGGTCTGTTTTAGCTTGGTTAGGTTTAGTTTGGTCTGTTTTAAAGCTTGGTTTGGTTTAGTTTGGTCTGGATTAGCTTGGTTTGGTTTAGTTTGGTCTGGTTTAGCTTTGTTTGGTTTAGTTTGGTTTGGTTAACTTAGTTTCTTTTAGTTTGGTTTGGTTTAGTTTGGATTAGTTTGGTTTGGCTTGAACGGTTATATGCTATATAACTAATTTTTCCAAGGCGTCATGTGTTTCATTATAATTTCTAAATCCATGATTTAACCGATATTAGTTTCCATTGATTTTTGCACAAATTTAAAATTCGCATGACATTTTGAAGTTTGCATAATTTAGGCGCTGTTTGATTTATATTCTATATGACGATTTGCAACTAGAACCGAGAAACTGATGAAGTCACAATTTTTAGTTAATTATATAAATAAATCCTAAAACTACAAAATTCAGACAATTTTTAGACGAAACGAAGTTTTAAAATTTTTATTTTTATTCTTTTGTTCTTTTGAAGATATTGGAAATGTGAAAACAATAAAAAATATTTATGATAACTTTTAATATAAACTTCTGAACATCCTACCTTTTCCAATAAAGGGAGTAAAATGTTCTCTCTCAATCTTTTGAGGTCAGATGACTGACATTTTGACAGTTATTTAATCAGGAGAAATTAACCAAATTAGGTTAAATATATTCACAGATGACGAGCCGACTCCTGAGTCGAAAAAAGCTTAAAATTGCGCACACTGCACAGTGTACACTCTGTACTCACTCCCGCATTTTTATGATGAGCTCAGCCGGGACGTCATGTACTGTGCGGACTCGAATTCCCGGGGTTTTCAACTGATCCGCTGATCGGCTCTGGAGACTCTGGTTCCAGGTCTCAGCTCAACTTCTGGTTTTCAACTGATGAGGCAGGAGGAGGGCCTGTGGCCTTCAGGCCGAGAGGCTGGGGGAAAGCTTGAGACCCGGAATGGTCGTTTCCCGCCCCTCCCCCCTCACCTACCTCTATACACCGTAATCCTTAACCCCATATTATGCTTAACTCTGTTAAAGGATTTTTGAAGTTGTGGGGTTTGTTGCTCTATCGTTGTCTAAGGGTCACCAGGTCTCTAGACAAACAATATTTCAGAAGAACTTATAATCAACATTCGAGTACTTCGACATGCCGCCCATACCTTACCCATCTAACCGGTAGATTCTATATTTAGCTTGGAGACAGCCACACACTACACTGCACGGTCACAAACACTGAATCTCAAAGTGGTTTTTTAAATAGACTCTGTACAGTAATCCTATGCACTTTTTTGGAACCATTAAATTTGTCTTTTCACACCAATTGGACTTTGTATTTAGATTAAAATGTTGTGTTCTAGTTTTTACAAGTTTTTCCCAATAAAAGTTACGGTTAATTCATTTCCTCTTCGTTAGCCCATAGAAATCAATGATTTAAAATCGTTAACAATCGTTCCCACTTTTGGATTAGCCAGGCCGTTAAGGAATGACTTTTGAAAAAAACTATCAATTTTTGTTCTGAACGAACTTTTTTTTATTTAAAGAATAATTTTACTGAACAAACGATCTAATTGAACAATCATTAATTTAAAAAAACGAAATAAGATGGAAAATTAATGAATTCAATTTTTTTTATTAAAAAACGGAACAAAAGGAGTCGTTAATTAGCAATGAGCAAAGAATTGAAAAAAAAAACTGTCAGCTCGCACATATCCACTCAGGAGTAGAACTTTACTATATTGTTAAACTAGATTAATATTCGGATTCCTTGTATAATTCTGTAAAATAATAACATGTATATATAAATAACGTAGATATATATATATATATATATATATATATATATAACCTTACTAATTACCATGTATGTTTAGGGCTGGGCTTTGTTCTTGGGGAAAGATCATTCTTTCACGAGAACAAACTGCAGCTAATTATCAAGAACGACCCCATCGTTCCAAAATAACACATAGAACCCGTTCTTGAAAATATTGTAATTGACATAATTACTATACAGTCAAATGTTTAATGTTTTGATGAGAATTTTGTTATTTAAAAATTTTTATCTTTATCTATTTATTTTAACGTTCGCTTTGTTTAGTTTTTGTTTTGCTTACTTAGCTTGTTTTGTTTAGTTTGTTTGTTTTGTTTAGTTTGTTCGTTTTGTTTTGTTCGTTTGTATGGCTTAGTTTGTTTTGTTTAGTTTGTTCAGTTTAGTTTATTTAAGTTTATCTTTTTGTCTTGTTTCATTCTTCTTTTAGATTGTTTGTTTTCTGTAGTTTGTTTGTTTTGTTCAATTTTTTTCTAAATTGTTTGTTTTGTTTAGTTTGTTTGTTTTGTTTAGTTTGTTTATTTTGTTTAGTTTGTTTATTTTGTTTTGTTCGTTTGTATGGTTTATTTTTTTTTAGTTTGGGTATTTAGTTTGTTTATTTTGTTTAGTTTGTTTCTTTTGTTTATTTTCTTTATTTTGTTTAGTTTGTTTATTTTGTTTTGTAAGTCTGTTTACTTTTGTCTAGTTTGTTTATTTTAGTTTAGTTTGTTTGTTTAGTTTATTTTGTTTGTTTTATTTGCTGGAGGTCTGTTTAGTTTGTTTAGTTGGGTTAGTTTGTTTTAGTTTTTTTCTTTCTTTTTTGGAATAAAATTATACTCTGTTAGATATTTAGAAATAATAATATCTTTTCAAAAACCATTTGCATTTAAAAACCTATATCATTCCAAATAGCTGGCACCTTAATTACTTTTCTCTCCAAACTACCCTCCACCCACCCCTTTATTTTTATTCCCCTTATCCTTCCCCACCTCTCCTCTTCTCCTTCCCAACCTCTCCTCTTATCCTTCCCCACCTCTCCTCTTCTCCTTCCCCACCTCTCCTCTTCTCCTTCTCCTTTTTATCCTTTTCTCTTCCTCTCTCCTTCTCGTTCATCCCTTTCAACTTTATATCCTTTCATTTCCCACGGGCAGCCGCAGTACATTTGTATTTACGAGCCGGGTCAACTTTTCCGGTCCCAGTTTGTACTGTACCTAGATCTATGGACAAGACTAGCCGGTGTAACAAGGTTGACGCGGTCAGACTTTATGCTTCATATAGGTTGAATTTACTTCTTTCCATTCCCGTCTTTTTACTCTCTCTACTTTCCCCTGTCGAGCTTTATCCTACTTCAACCCCTCTCTCTTTTTGCAACCAGAAAGCTCTGGAATAGAAAAACGATGTTTAGACTCAAAGTAAGACGTTAAATAGTCCAATGAACATGAGACACAGCAATCGTTTAGTGTAAACAGACCCATTTAAATCAATAAGTGAAGTAATAAGTTACTATTTATGTTGTCTTCCTATTCTACATTTTTCTGGTTTTCAATGTTTAACTTGGCACTGGCCGAAAAGGATTGAAACATACCTATATATATGGTAAAATATGATATCTCTGAAAGTGTGTTTGCTATCTAACCTCTCTTTTGCACAACTTTTTGCAAAAACCTAGATTTATGTCAAATTACTAAGATAAAATATCAAAGGATAGTTTTAATAATAAATATTTTGTATCGTTGGTTTGTTATTTTTTCTTGATAAAAGTTACTTTTAGTTAAGATTTAAAAATAAAATTGAATATGCAATAAAAGCTTATTTTTTTGTGGAAAAATAGTTGTTAAAAAAACATATTTGACAATTAGAAAGCATTAGGGAAAACATAGAAAAAACTAAAGTTTACGTGATTATGAAAACATAAATAAAGGAGTCTTTGCCACAAACTCTGATTTTTTAATCCTTTTATCTTTGCAACCCAACGTTGTAGACCTATAGTTCAATATGTATGCATGTATACTGTGTCCGAATTTAATGAATTTGAGCCCCATTTCAAATCCGCCAAAAAGCGGTTCCAATTGAGCGCCGGAAAAATCTTGAAAGATTAAATACAATTAAGTGAAACCTTCAATATTTGAGCTGCGGCTCAAATTTAAATTCTTTAAATTCGGCCTCTGTTAGATCAATTAATCTAAGTTTGAAATATCAAAGGTTTACAACATCAAAGCTTTCATATGTTTTGTTTCTGGAAAAATAAAGGAGATGATTGTCGTCTGCAGTGTGTCCTCTTTCTTTAAATTTACATTTTTATCTTGAATTTAATTTTTATTTTAAAGTGGCAGAGGAACATTTTGTAATTGCTGAAACAGAAATCAGCAAAATATTGAAAACTGGTTTACTCTTTATTTACATAAAAGGAGTTAACTATTTTAAAGTCTAACTAGCAGACGTTTACATTCATGTTCAAACTGGGTGTATACATATATACAATATGGAATATAGAGGTGCAAACAAATATGCACTAATAGGTCAAATGTGAATGATTTGAATTTACCAAAAACAAGATTTTATTTCGATGACTAGTTAAAGTAGTTATAATGTTTAACCCTATTCCCGCTGGGGGGGGGGGTCAATTTGACCCCCCCCCTGTAGTTTTTTTTACATAACTCAAAAAGTATTGGTCTGAGGCTGTTGAAATTTTCTGACTTTTCTTACATACCCATAGCCCTCCCTTTAGGCCTAAAACAGGGCTCTAATAATAACTGCCTGAGTCCTCAGGCACACTGCCTGAATGACTGCTTTTTCCTGTAACAAACTAAATCTTTGTTTTGACCCACTTTCACTTGTCAGATTTTGATAAAATTTAGTTTTTTGGAAAGCCTTTGACAGAAGGAAACAAATTGGACAAGTTTTGCGAAAAAAAAATTGCAAATTTTTTGCAAACAACCTGTCAAAGGAAATTTGCACATTTTTAGTTTTTCTTGATTAAAAATCATGTTATTTAAAATTTTGCAAAAATTTTTGCATATTTGAAATGGCATGGTCAAGGGCTTTTCAAAAATGTATAATTTTTCATTTTTTTGACAAATTTTTTTTTGCAAACATTTTTACTATATAACTGGATTTTGCGATAAAAAATTCAATTTTTGCAAATTTGCAAATTCTTTTGCAGATTCTAAAAGTAGAGCACAAGAGCTTTCTAATGATTTATCATTTGTCATATTTGGACATCAAACATGGGATTTAGAGAGGGGGTCAAATTGACCCCCCCCCCCAGCGTATCCTGGTTTTCAAGTACCCCAGCAGAGATAGGGTTAAACTATTCTCAATATTGACGAATTTGTTTTTACTATTGTTATATTTAGGAAAAGGGGATATTCTTTAGTTTCAAATCGTCATTGATAATGTTGATTATTCCTATACTTGGTTGTTTTCCTTCTGTACTTGATCTTCATCCCTGCTTACAGCTGAATATTCATTTGGTCGAGTCACCTTCGGGTTCTTCTTCTGGATCCTATGCACATAATCATGTGAATAAAGTTGGTTCGTTCTAGGCTTGTTTTTTGTCTTTCTGGCACAGTGTAGTGTCAGAAAAAAATACATTATCTCAAATATTTGCTTTTCTGTCATTATGCAAAATTTTGAGTCTGACAGAAAATATATGCAAAATGAATGACAACGTACTATCTTTACAACTATTTTTAACGGCATACTTTAAACCTTTGTCTGATCAGAGATGACGTCTTAATTTAAACATTTTACATTAAAAAAATTCAAATATATGTCAAAGGAATTGAGTCTTTGTAACAAACTCAAATTTTCTAATCCCTGTTTACTTGCATCCTTATGGTGTAAACCTTTGATTTTTCAAACTTAGACTTCTTGATTTCAGAAGTCATAGTTTGAAATAACAAAGGTATTAAAAATTGGGTTGCAAAGATATAGAGATCAGAAAATTGGAATTTGTGGCTAAGACTCAATTCCTTTATTTTACATTTTCATAATAAAACCGGGCATTAAACCAATAAAAAAATATTACCACAATATAAGGCTAATTTTTAATAGTATTTTTACCTTTTATAAATATATATAACTATAGCAATTCCAACCGCTAGAACTACTCCTAGGCTCAAAAGAACCCAAAATCCTGTGCCAAGAGCTGAAAAAAAAATTATTAATTTAAAATGGTAGAAACAGTAAAGTAATACTTTCCAATTTTACCAGTATTTCTAATGGTTGTATTTCAATTGAAATAGCAAAATTAATGTTTTCTACCAAAATGTCAAGAACTATGTCCCCAAAATTGTAAACCTACACTTTTTTCAGAAAGTCATATAATTTTTCAAAAGAAAATATATTTTTGGGGGTCATAGGAAGTGAAACATTTTTGAAGAAACTATATTTATAGTTTCCATATTAAAAACTATGATAATTTCTACGAAGGTATGATTGCGTTTTTGAAACATTATTCGATTTTGAGACCCAATTGTGTAAACTTTTGCTATTTTTAATTTGTTATCTAAAAGAATTCACGTTTTTAAGTTTCAAAGGTCTTCAAAATTGGGTTGCAAATATACAGGTTTTATAAAATCAGAGTTTGTGACAAAGACTCAATTCTTTTCCACACTAAAACATGGAGATATTTTACATTTAAAAACTATTAAGAAAAATATTCAACGGCATTAATTTCTTGTGTAGCTCCTGGTATATGTTTAACTTGAGAGATAGAACTGTTCAACTTTTCAAATATATAAAGCCTTTCTCAGTTATAATATTTTACCAGATGTTGTATCGTTTAATGTATCCTCTTCACTTGGTTCGTCTCCTTCTAAACCATCCTTTTCATCCTAACAATAATATTTTTAAACTTTTAAACGGGTAGGGGGGAAGGAACACTGGGGTATCATGGGGGGGGGGGGTAAGCCAAAATGAGTTTATTCCATAATCCTCCTATTTATGTCAAATTGAGAGAAGTCTTTAAGTTGTGTAAATGTTATGTTTTAGTTAAGAATTTTGACCGAAACCCCAAACAAAGACGACATCTAAATGTATTGCGGGATTACAGGATCCATTCAAGGATAAATATATGGAAAAGTAATTATAAATTGAAATCATTATAAATCAATGCAAGCTACAATTCATACAATGTTTGTAAATGAAAATATTATCAGAATACATTCATTTTGTCAATTCTCAACATGAAACACAAGACAAGTGCATTTAAAGAGAAATGTTATGACAAAAACAGTCCCCCTCCCCAATGACCCCCCAAATAGCCTTGGGAGGGGAGGTACGTTTATGTGACACCCCACTCCCTAACCTCTCTCTTTGTAGTTTATGTTTGACCTACTTTTTTTCCTTTTTTCCATTGCAACGTCTTTACCTTCAGAAAAAACGTAATTCAGAATTTTTGTTTTTTTAACCTAAAGGGTAGGGGGATCGGTTTGTGATTCAAAGATCTAAAATAACTTTTTCAAAAAGTTCAACGTTTTACATTGTTTTAAAAACTCTGGAAAATGTATCAATGTATGTATTAATATTAATAATTAATTATTATCTTTATTTTTGTGATTTTTTTTTGGCTTTGTTTTATACTTTATACATATAGGCTTAGATGCCACAGTCTTTTTGGGGTTTGAAAAGTCAAAAATAGTGATAAAATAAGAAAAAAAAAACTTTTAAAAGTACATAATGCAGACACAGTTTATGAAACATCAAATATTCTAAAAAAAAGTCAAGTTTTACAAATCTCTCTCGTTCAGATATACAGCTCAAAATTTTGAAGTTTAATTTAATTTGAGTTTTCCTTTCAACTTTACAAATCCTCTCAAATACTTTTCCTGCTGATCCTAGGATAGATCATGTTTTGCCAGAGCTGGGAACTTTTGAATGGTGGATATCGAAATTAATGCTTGATCAACTCTTTTTCTTAATCTCGAGATTAAATAATGCTTGTTTTCCTCTTATTATTAATCTCCAGATTAATTAACCGATCGGGATTAAGGATATTTCATTCTAAAGTTTTCAGCTCAGAGCTGGGAACTTTTGAATGGATAACCTTAAATCCCAACTACTTAATCCGAATTTCCACTGTGGAAACTTTTAATCTTAGTCCTTAATCCACTATTTTTCTCTCTCTTTGGATATCCGTACATTATTTTCTCAAATGAGAGTGCAGAAATATAGTTCGTAAATTGTATTGACCAATGACAGCCTTGAAAATAAATTCTATCCCAAGAGAGAAATCGGCCATTTTGTAAATTAATCGATGAAGAAAAATATTTAATAACAGGTTTGAGATTCTTTTGTAACCAATTTTAACTAATGTATTAATAAATAAATTTCATATCAGTATTTCCAGTTCATATCAGTATCTCCAGTTCATATCAGTATCTCAAGCGAGAAACACCTAGTGAACTAGCTCCGGCTTTGTAGTGATAGTGTGTACACTGTACTGCAAATCTCAGCAAATTAAGTAAGTACACTTGTACTTATAAACAATCTCCTCATATAAAACCTTATTATTCTTTTCTTTTTTCCCTTTTCCCTTCCTTATTTTCTTCGATTTATT